CCTACTACCCTAGTCCTAGTCCTACTTATGTGTCCAGTCATAGATACTCAATGATTCAATGTATTCTAATACACCAGACACACTCTTTGTAGAGGGAAGGACACTCTCTTTCCTTATAAGGATATACAGTATACCACAAAAAAGGCTAAGTAGCTACTGCGCAGTTACCTTTATACTTCGTTGACGCTGCGATTGAATTGCGTTGACGGTTCGCTTCTGTACTCTGCGCATGCGCAGCGAGACAGTAGTGAATTGGGAGGTGCGGTTCAATTACCTTTTAATTACGTAAGAGTACGGTAAGAGTACGGTAGTAACCGTAGTAACTACTAGCAACGAGCAGCTGGCTAGAGAGAGATTCGAGGAGACATCGAAGGAGACTGTGCTAGCTAAAGCCCAAAGGATCAGAGCCCATCATCATAGTACGAGGCTTGTGGAGAGCAATAGAGATACGGGAAGAGTAAGAGTTACAGTACACCACGAGTCTGAGGCAAGACCTTAAATCTCTGCAGATTAAAAAGTGCCGTAAGCTCTCACCTGTGTACCACCATAGATCTTACTTCTTTGTTTACAGCGCCTTATTATCTTGTTTTTTTCAAAGAAGACCGCTCTTTGGGCGTTGCAAAAGCTAACAATATCATTGAATTGGATAAGGAAGACTTGTTGGAGCCTGGAACAGAGTGCCACGTAAGATTGAAGAAAAATGTATTTGGTGGAATTGTAGTGACTCATGGTAAGTGATAAAAACTACACTATGTACAGTTATTATTTTCTTATAAATTGTATTACTTGATGTACATGTAGGGACTGAAATTGATGTGGATATAGTTGCCGAGAAGATCATTAATAAGCTTTATACTCCTGAGTTTTTGAAAGGATTATTAAGTGATGACTCGGATTCTGATGATGTGACAACTGATTGCACTTGTGCTAGCGACTCTGATATTGATGCAAAGAGTAAGAGAAATGCTAAAAGGAAAAGAACAGATAGTAAATTACAATGCTATGTTAATGTGCATGTACGGTTATGATACATTTTAGGTGGTAAGCCAGCTAAGAAAAGTATGATGAAAACGCCTCTCAAGAAAACTAATAGAAAGTCTAAGACTAGATCTAATGTGCATAAAGCTAAAGATGGTACTGCTACAGTAAAATTGTTATTTTTTAAATTAATTTCTTGTATAGAGCAAAAATCTACCATCAATGTTCTTGCAGTCTCACAGAATACAAGTAACACAAGCAGCGCTGTTGTATC